AAATGGGGAAGACACTGGCCCACAAGTCAGGGCATTAGTCACAGCCGGAGGTTTAGCAAGACAAGACAAGAGCGAAACAATTAATTTTGAAAGAGCAAACATGAGAAGGGACCTCTCTAAACAGATGTGCCCTTCTGACACAGCTCCCAGGGAACCCACAGCACATCCTGGGACATGCAGGGAGCCCGAATCCTGCCCCACACAGGAGGTATGAAGTACTTGAATGTCAGCTCTCACAAGTAACTGTGAACGATGCACAGCTGCTAAAATTGAGACAAGGCTAGAAAGCATCACTTTTTTCTATTATTTTATGTTGCACTTCAGCTTCCTGCATAAAATGGAAAAGTAGCAGCAAAGTCAGCATTTTACCACACTGTTTGCAGAAACTCTATAATCTTAATCAAGACAAACCCCTTTCAACCAACCATTGCTGAGTGACTGTAATATTATCACAGGTTATGCTAAGAACTCACCTTTCCTTCCAAACCGTGCTAAAACCTGTTAAAAGGGTGAGTTATAGTGTGCTGTACCTATAGTAGAGACAATACTGCTCACCCACACCAAGCTAAACCTCGTCAGAAGAGCAATAAATGCTACTGGCTGCTTAAAGAACCACCCTTGGAGCTTAATTAACTAATTAGGCAGAGGATATCTCTAGCTAAAGCACATTTGAATGCAACTTTGCATAAGCTCAGCTCATACTTACAAGTGTATTCTTTCACTATTCTTTCTCATCACCTTGCCGTGGGTCTGTCCACACAGAGGCACAAGGATTTTAGAAAGCAGGAGAGATGTTAAAGCTGCCAGAAGGAACTGCTGAGATCCAAAGCAGGGAGCATCCTGCCACTGCTCCTCTGCCTCGGCACTTCAGGGAGATACAGGATGGCTTCAGTGGGTTTTTTAAACTATTCTGGCTGCCATTCCCACTGGCATTGCCCATGATGCTAAAAAGCTTCCCAACACAGCCTGGGCCAGCCAGCTGTCATGCCTTTGCCCAGCCCTGGGCAGTGAGTGAGCAGCAAATGATGTCCACATTTCCATCAGTTTTGGCTGAGCCTGGAGCAACAGCTCTCTCCTCTGGATCACCTTCCTTCCCCTGTATTTCCTCTTCTCATCTGCCTTTATTTTTCTCTATAGGAGGTGTCTCCTTTTGTGCAGCAGCTCGGCCGAGCTGCTCTGAGATGGGATGTGACAAAGTCCCACTGGTGGCAGTGACAGCACTAGATGGGAGCTGTGAAAGAACTGATCAGATATGGCACATGTTGTTTCCAGAAAGCAGTGACTCCTATGGAATGTCAGGGAACTGTAAACAAAACTCCTCCTAACAACCTGTTTCCTAAGAAAGAAGTTTATTTCATGTAATTTAGGTCAAGACCAGTGTTTATTAAATTTCACAATTTCCCTGGCTTGGGACTGACCTTTGAACGAGCACCAGGGCTGTTCCGTGGCAGAGGGGCTCCAGGAGCAGCACTGTGGAGCAGCACTACTTTGGGATGTAGGAACAAAATCCAGGTGTTTATCTTTGCTCTCCATTGCTGGGAGCAGGAATTCTGCTCACTGCTGGAGCATCCAGCCTGGATTTGCACATGCACATGTGCCCTGCTGCAGCAGCCACCTCTGCAAGGGCCACGTGCTGCTGGAAGGCAGCAAAAAGCCAAGGATTAGTTCCTTAAATAGGGTGAATACGACTTCCTGCTAGTGACCTGCTTTTTGCACTCACTTGGCTTCTCTCCCTTGCTATCTATTAGAAGTGAAAGCATCACCAAAGGTTAAAATACTTCCTACAACTCCAGGAGGTGGGTGAGTTTGGGCATCAGAAAATTTGCCAAGATAAGAGAAAACTCTGTTTCAACTGGATTGCTTTAAACTAAGTTCCCAGCACAAAATATGGGACCATAACCACTGTGAGAAAGTATTCCAGAGCATCTCTGCAGGAGATGTTCCCTGGTTTTCAGAAATTCCATTTTCTTGGGCTTGGAAGGTTAGAGGGGCACGAGATACTGCACCATAGCCATGCTGCCTTTTGTACTTGCCCCAGCAAGGAAACCTTATCTGAGCATCATAACTTCACACTTATCTAGATGAAAGAGCAAAACCAGCTCCTACAAACAGTTGCAGCTCAGTTCTCACAAGGCACTTGCTAAGTTTATCAAGCTAATGCAGGCACATACCTGCAGGAGTCATCACCATTTTGTGATGCAAAGAAGCCCTTGCCCAGGATGATCCCTGCTGGCATCAGCAGCACCTTGCACAGCTTTTGGGATAACTTTCTTTTTGCACTTGTAACATCATCAGATTCCTTTTTTCAATAATATTCCTAAATCAGCTGCAACATGAACACTTATCACACCCAACTCCCACTGAAATACCTTTTTCATTAGTATCAAAAGCCATGAATTCACTGATTAATTAAATTTATTTGTTCGCTTACATCCTCCTGATCATTCCAAATTCAAACAGAAACACTTTGGATAAATCCAACAGTTTGGATTTCCACTCGCTGTCTTTTACTCCAGTCTCCAGAGTTTCTTCTGAAATATTTTCTTTGCTTACTCTTATTCCTGTTCCTACCAATTCTATCCATGTTTGTGGTGCCTTCACTCTGCCTATACTCACAGATCAGACAAATTCCAGAATTACAGGTATCAAAGGTCAGGACCTGTTGCTTACATTGCCCTTTATTTTTTTTACATCATCCTTCAGCTTCTTAACCCTGCAATTCAAGTGAAAAACAAAAGCCCAAAGCATCTGAACAACAACAAACCTGGGACTATGGTTTGTGTAGGGGCACTGAGCCAGCTTAGAGAGAAAAACAGGCACTAGAGCAGTCCTGTTATCTGAGGCAGAAGAGGGGGGAAAAGTGAAGGGGAAGAGCAAAAATCCCTAGATTTAAAAGTGCAGGGATTTTGGAATATGTCACAAGAAGAGAGAGTGGTAAAACGGTGGTGAAGGACCAGCCTTGTCCCTTTGGAGCTGGGCAAAACCCTGCTGAAATTCCTGTGAACTCTTGGGAATTGGGAATTACCTCCTGCAAAGTTTATCAAGGGAAAAGAAATAGAGTTCATACGAAGTCCTGGGACAGTGATAAGATTCTGCAGAAGTGGTCACGAATGCCAAGTGCATTTTTCAAAAAGGCCTGAAGCGAAATCTGTTTGCAGTTGTGCTGGCCAGGAATGGAATTGGAGACAGATGTGCTCTCTGTGCTGAGGGGCCCCAGGACAGGGAGACCTGAGGTGGAGGGACATGGCAGTGGCTTCAGCCCCATAGGCAATCCCTCTCAGTGGGGACAGGAACCACTGTGATATGGGATGGGCCAACTGTCAGCCAAGGAAAAGGAGAAAAAAGTGGGATTTTCCAACCAACCTTGAGTCAAAACTGGGTTGTCCACAGAGATCTCTAATGGTGGGGTTGAACCTCAGCCTGGCTGGCAGGTATAGCCCAGGTTCCAGCCAAGGGGAAGAGGAGGCTTCGCCTGAAAAATCAGTGTGAGTTTGAGGGAGATCAAAAGAAACAACTGTAAAACACCAAAAACACAGTGAACCAAGAGCAGGGCTTAATATTTTCAGTGGTATGGCTTGTATGCACTGGTGTGGAGTCCATAGAATGGTTTGAGTTGGAAGAGACCTGAAAGACCATCTAGTTTTACCCCCCTACCATGGTAGGGACACCTTCCACTAGCCCAGGTTGCTCCAAGCCCTGTCCAACCTGGCCTTGGACACTTCCAGGGATGGAGCAGCCACAGCTTTTCCTGATAATCTGTGCCAGTGTTTTACCAGTGTTTTACCTCCTGTAAAAAACTTCTTCCTTATTACTTGTCACATTCCTACAAGGACACAATCCCCAGAGCTGTGTGATGAGAAAGTTCTACAGACAAGCACGAAGTGTGGAAAAAAGCCCACTCTTGTTCAAGATGACACACAGATGCAGTGAAGAGGCCAGCAGCCAGCTCACAGATTAGCTTGAGCTAAGCCACATAACCACTGGTGACTCTGGACTTCCCCAATTCGAAGTATTGAGCTGTTGAGGCACTTACTGGGAAGTGCTGTGGCATCAGGCCCCACGAGCGGAGCCGCCGGAGCTGCCCCTGCCCAGCAGGCACGGAGCTGGACTCCAGTCACCCCGGCCACTGCCCTCATTTCTGTGAAATAAACTCATCCTTTTTTAAAGGAAATGAAAAAAGGAGTTTTTCCAGCTTCCAGGAAAGTGGGAAGCCCACGCCACTGGCTGATTTGGCCAGGTAACACACCATGGTGCCCTCGCAAACCCGGTGGGCTTCCCCCTCACCAGCTCCTGGCCAGAGAGTGGGGCAGCAAGGGGACCACTGTCCTGACACAAAATCAACTCTGTGGCACCAGCTGTGCCCATGGGGTCACGGCTGACTCGCTCAGGACACCCTGCATCCCTCCTTTCCCACCCAAAAGGGGCCACTTTGCTGTGCCCATCCCTGTCATTCCGGGGCAGTGGCTTCTCCTGCTGTCAATTAATTAACTCTTACAGCACGCCTACATTTTGTCAAAATTTTGCCACAAGTATTGCACAAATGCTGTAATTGTCCCTTTCTGTGCAGTGAGCCACGTATTTTCCATGGGATTTTGTTGGGTTTTTTTTCTTATACCAGTCTTTCTCCTATTGTTTCTCAGACAGCCCCATGCTGTGGCCAGAGAAGCTGTGATTTCTAGGGAAGAGCTGTAGCAACTCCTACAGGAGGTGGCAACTGCCTGGTCATGCTTTGGGTCATTCTATGCTTTCCTGATTTTCAAGCTGAAAAGCCAGATATTTATACATTTCTTTCCATGGAAATGCTGATTGGGTAAGGAGGTGTTAGACACCAAATTTTCTGGAAGAGAGAGGTTCCAGTAAGTCTCAACAAATGGCTTTTTTTTTTTTAAGTTCAATGAGTTTCCCAAACCAACCTGAAGTGCTGTTTCCTTGTAGAGACCATAAAATGGTAGAGGACTGGTGGACTGGTCCAGAGCTACTTAGAGGTTCTCTGAGCACATCAAGAGGATGAAAACCCATCTCTACCTTCTCTTGCTGGCTGCAGGTATCTCTGCTGCTCCCCAGATGAGCAGCATGGCTGAATTACTGACACTTCTACAGCAAATGTGGGAGGCAAAGGACATTCAGGTAAATTCAATTTCCATTTTTCTAATCTAAAATTTGATTTACTGAATCCTCTTGTTCTTGAATATTTAACTTCCTTTGAAAGTCAAACAAACAATCTATGTAATATTATATTTTTGTCAGTGTTAATGAAGATGATAGCTGAAAGGCTGAATTAATATGTTATTTTTCAGAATCTGAGGATTGAGACTCCAGACAATATAAATGTAAGTAAAAGTTTTTTTAAATAAAATCAACATTTTCATAAATTTCTTCATTGAAAATTGAGGTAGTTTTTAAATTGTTATCTTCTAAAATGTTCTATTTGTATTTAAGAGTAAATTATCACTTTAAGTGTAAGTGTAAGATATAAAATGATATTGTAAGACATAAAATGTAGGTAGATATAAAACATTATTAAAAACAAACAAATGTTGAGTCAAAACTAAACTAAAAAAGTTGCTGTAATATAAAAGGACAGCAACTATTCTTGTTGTATGTTTTTGTAAATCTCCTGCACAACACATACACAGAGGGATTTTCTGAACCAGTTTTTGAATGAAAGACAGCTAAAAAGGAAAGAGAAAACTTGTTCACACTTCTTGCTTGTGTGTCTGCAAAAATTCTTCTTTTTAGCCTACTTCACTTAGTCTACTACTAGAAAGGGCTTTTTAAACCAGGAAGGGGATTAAGTGATGGTGTTACCTGGTCTTGTCTGAAGGATGGTGTCAGTGTGCCCTGACCAGGACACCAGAGACAGGATCCTAAAGATCAAACTCCCCCTGGTGGCTTTGCCATCTTCTTCTACATCTCCAGGAAATGTCTCCTGTCCCCTCTCAGGTTTTCTTTCTGAGGTGACTTTAAGCAACTCCCTGGTCATGCACATGCTGTTGATGAGGCTTTTTTCTCATCAATGAGATTCTCGGTTTCCCCAGATCACAGCCCAGCACAGAACTCTTCAGCTCACAGCGTGGCCAGATGGCTGCTGGTAGAAATGCAATCTGAGTCATTAATTTGTTGAAGGAGCAGGATAATTCCCATTTGTGCCCTAAGCTAGCACAGGAGGACGGGAGTTTCTTGGTGTCAAACCCAGCCCATTCCTTGCAAATCAGATGCAAAGTTCCCAGCTCTGTCACTTCTCTCTGGATCCTGCCTGGATGAGCTCTCTTCCCAGGCTGGGGCTTGGGCTGGCTTTAACTCTGAGATTTTGACCCCGAATCAGCAGTGCCCAGTGCTGGCAGCTCATTTGCCCCTTTCCCTGATGAGGTCCCTGGAGGTGCCCACTGTGCCAGTGCCCAGCTTCCCTCTGGGGAGATGAGCTGCTTCCCTCTCTCCGGTGCTTTGGAGCCAGAGGTGACAGAGAATTCCTCGAGGTCTGAGTTTGCTGTTCAGCAGCAGCAGAAGTGGCTTCCCAAGCGAGGCTGTGGGAGGGATGATCTTACTCACCCCGCAGCACCAGGAGTGACTAACAGGGGGCCACGTGCTGGTTGAGGGCGTCACAGGCACCTCCAGCAGCTGCTGCATTTCCTCTGATCCTCGATGATTAGTTTTTTCTCCCTTTTTCATCACTTTCTCCTCCCGTGACACCTCAGTCTGTTCCTGCCACTGATGGTCGTGTCCTCTCCTTTCCTTCCTTGTGAGTTTAGCTGAGCTCCTCCTGAACTGGCGAGTGTGACCATCATCACTCTTTGCTTGGCTTCCATCCACGTCCCTCCTCCCCCTTCTGGTGGCCTTTTCCAGACCACAAGGTCTCAGAGACCAAAGCCAGCTCCCACTTTGTGCCACAGGGCCGGCGTGGCCACACCTGGGGCAGGACAAGGGCTGGGGAGTGAGAGGGTGGCTTTGTCCCCATCTCTCCTGGCAGGCAGTGCCAGCTGCTGCACAGTTTGTGTTTGCAGCACCTTCAGCTTCATTTATTTGCCTTCTCTTGCGCTTGAGAGGCACGAGCAGATGTGAGAAATCAAACTGGCTTTCAGAAGGCTGCAGAAGAGGAAGGACAGAGGCGTTGGACAGTGAGATGGTTCAGCTGGACATTACAAAACACACACCAGCAGATCCTGTGCCAGGTTTCAGTCTCCAGAGTAAAGAAGTATGCACAGCAGATAAATACACACACTTGCCTAAGCCGCTTGCAAACTCGAGCCCAAAAGTCAGTAAAAACGAATTTGTCACCCAGGCAGTTGAGCACTTTCCCCAATGATTTTTAATAAACTTATTGCAGCTCATGGTTACAAATTCTTGTACCTCAGTTTTGCTAATTCTTCTGTCTTAGGATGTGAACTGTATCAGCACAATCTTTGAAGGAACGGAACGGCTGAAAACTAATCCAGCTATGAAAAAATTCAGTGCCTTTTTCCAAAATTTTGAAAGACTGAAGCAATTTCTCACTCCAAGCCTGGCAAAAGAGGTAGGAATTTATTCACTGTCTGCCAGAGATCCCACAGCAGAGATATAACAAAATATGATCTATAATTCATAGACAAGCCCTTATGTCTACAAAAGAGAGTAATTTTTGTACTGGTTTGTTTTTAATATATGGAAGAATAAATCCTGGCATTATTTCATGTTTATGCCCTCCCCTTGTTCTAGTCTTCCACTTGCTCCACCTCTAAATTAAGGATTCATATGTGTGATCAGCAAATTTAAGGAAAACAATATCATTCATAAAATGATTTTGAGATGAACAAGCTCTAAATGATGATTAAATATTAATCAATTTCATTTTCTTGATTGATTTTTCAGGGGAAATGTGATACAGAACGAAGGAATGCAACGATATTTATAAACAAGCTGATGACATTCATCCGAAAAGCATTAAAAGCCACAAGAGCATAGAGTCAGGAGTTTCTAAAATTGCTGTAAATTTATATGAGCAGTAAAATGTTTAGGTATTAAAGAAGTACTCCTCCTTTGTGTTAAAATCTGGTTTTTTTAAAGTTAATGGATAGGAGTGTTTAGAGCTATATGACTTTATTTCTATGGTGTCAACTAAATTATATCATGTTTTATAGATATATGTATCTTGGAGAAAATATTTATTCTGTATCTTTACTAGTTTTAATAAAGTGAATAAATGTTTGTCTCTGGCTTTCCCCTTTCCCCCAAAATTTCTTCCAAACTATTCCCACACTTCAGCAGATCTAGTTATTGTAAAATCTCTCACAGTCAGGGCAATTGGATCCTTCAGGTGAGTGTGCAAGTGTATTGCTGGAATGATTCTAATGATTCATGAATTAAAAACCCGAGAGCTCATTCAGGTGCCCCCCCTGCCCGTGGCAGAGCTGAGCACGTTTCCTCTAAGCTCCCTGGATGGCTGCATTTCTTGCTATAAATATCCCAGCACAAATTAATTCTTTTTAAAAAAAATGTTTCAAATATAAGAGAAAGAAATGAGAACCAAATTGAGAAGACATTTTCAGTCAGAGAGAGAGGCAGGTTCCTCCAGTGTCCCTTTAATCACAGAAAAACCTTCTTGAAAAACTTACCAGTTTTGACGCGGTGAAAAAAGAAGCTGAGCAGTCGAGGAAGGCACTTGTGGTCAGTCACAGTGATGCCAAAGGTTTAATTTAAGACTCCTGGGTCAGACAGGTCCTGATACCCCCGAAGAAGGAGCAGGGACTGGCATGTTGTATCCCCGGGGACCCCGGCTGAAGCACGGCTGAGAATCCTGTGACACCAGAACAAATACACAGAAACAAAACATTTTCTTGCCACATTAATACTGATTTTTCCAGTGTTTTCTAGCATTATCCAGATTTTATTGAGGAAAAATACAGCTTTTCATCCCAGCTCCGTAAGATGAGGGGATCAAGCACAGCTGCTGGTGAAACAAGGGTTAATCAGCAAAATTATTATTTGTGAGTTATTTGTGCAGGCGTTGATCCATCAGACGCTTTGCTGTGCCCGCAGCCCCGTTCCCAAAGCAGAGCAGCCCCCGCACAGCAGCAGGAGGAGGCGGCGGGCGGCAGGTGGCAACAGGAGACCGCAAACGATGGATGTGCTGGATGCACAGCTCTGCCCGGAGAGCTCTGGGGCGGGGAAAACCCCAGGCAGGGCTTTCCCTGTGGTGTGCGGAGCTCCTCCGACTCCAGAGCCCCGTTTTACCGTGGTTCCGACCCCCGGGCTGAGCCCCAGCCCCGTCGGTGCTCGGCAACCCCCGTGCCCCGGTGCCAGCCCCGCGCTCGGCCCTGCGAGCCCTCGGGACTCCCCGGAGCGGGATGTGCCGGTGGGACGGTCCGTGCCAGGAGAACAGGCGGGCACACCAGCGGGACAGGACAGCCCTGGGTGCGGCCACACGGGAGTTAAACCCGGGCCAGCGCTCCCGGGAAAGTTCCCGGCTCAGGTTTCCTTGGATTCGGTGCGCGCGCTTCCCAGGGGCCAAAGGGGGGAGAAAGGGAACGGGGCGGGCGGGCTCCGGCCGGGCCGGACCCCGGGAAACACGGGGAGAGCAGGAGAAACGAGGGAGTGTGCGGTGACTGCTCAGGGAGTGAGGAAACTGCCCACGAGAGAGGAGCCGAACCACGCGCCGTCCATGCACGAGTCACAGGACGAGCTCAGGGCCGCCAAAAAAAGGAACTTTGGACTCGCAAGGGACTGGGAGCTCTGGCTGGGTCACCAGACCTGCCCTCCGACCCACCTGGATCCTGCTTCAAGAGGGAACTGCTCCAGCTGTACTTCAGTATTCACTACGAGTTCATATGGAAAGTTCAAAAGAACCATCCTTTCTAGCATGCCCAGGAAAAAAAAATCATATATGTAATATAAATATATGCTTGATGACGTATAATTATATTTTGCATATAATATATAATATATATAATAACATATATATAGTATACATTATATATAATAACAATATAAATAACATATGCTAATTTTGCGGGGAGTTCTAGACAATATATATTTATATAATATATATTATTAATGACATACATATTATATAATTTTTATATAATATTGTATATAATTTATATATAATATTGTATATAATTTTTCTATTTCACATATATCTATATGGTTTAGGTTAGATATTAGGAAGAAATTATTTACAGAGAGGGTAATCAGGTATTGGGATGGGCTGCCCAGGGAAGTGGTGGATTCTCCGTGTTTAAGATGAGACTGGATGTGGCATCAGTGCCATGGGCTGGGAACCACAGCGGGGTTGGATCAAGGGTTGGACTTGACGATCTCGGAGGTCCCTTCCAACCCAGCTGATTCTATATCATCTTTTCTAGCACGCCCAGGGAAAACAGCATATCCTTAACATAAACTTTAATAACCTAACTTTAATTAACCTTCAATACCTCCCTTTTACGCTTCAGTTGCCCCGGTGAGCATTATCAGCCATCCCAGACAGCAGTTGTGCTCCCCTCCCTGAGTCCCTCCCGGGGTGGCAGCGGAGCGGGCCGGGCTCGGAGCCCCCTCGGGGGTTACGGCAGGAGCATCCCCCGGTGCCGCGGGGGGGATTTCCCGGCGGAGGGAGGGGGGGAAGGGGGATTTCCCGGCGGGGCCGTTGGAATTCCCGGCCATTCCTGCCCCTGACTCGGGGCCCGGCCGGGCTTCCCCGGCCCTCCCCGGCTCCCTTCGCCCTCCCGCGGCCGCCACCGGCATCGCCGATTCCGGGAAGCGGCTCCGGCGCCGCCGCTCCCGCGGGAAACCGAAACTGGGCGGCGGGAACGGGGGGATGGGACGGGGGGGATGGGGAGGATCGCGGCACATCGGCCCGGGAGACGCAGAAATAGAGGAACAGAAGCGCACAAACAACGGCCACCCGAAAAATCAAGGGGAGGGGATAAAAAGGGCTCAAAGAAAAAAGGGGGCTCAAAGAAAAAAGGGGGCTCAAAGA